AAAAAAAAAAAAACGTTTGATACTGCAAATCATAATAACCTTTTGCATAAATTATTCAATTTTAATTTTTCAACAAAGTTTGTAAATTTAATTTAATCTTATCTTTCTTCACATTCTCAATTAGTAAAAACTGATTATTATAAATCTAATTCACTATGTCTATCAACTAGTGTTCCACAAGGGTCCATATTGGGCCCAATTCTCTTTAGCATGTATATTAATGATTTACCCATGGTGTGTCAATAATGTAATATCATAATGTATGCTGACGATACAGTCATTTTCACACATATTAAAAATGCAGAAGAGGTTGCAAATAAGTTGACAGATGTTATGGTAAAAGTCATATCCTGGCTCAATCACTGTTATCTGAAATTAAATCTGTCAAAAACGGTTTCTTTCTTAAATGACATAGTGTTGATATAAAGCAGGATATTTTTATTTCAGGAGAGAGATTACAAGTAGTTTCAGAATAATAATACCTAGGGGTTCATTTGGACTCATGTCTTGTTTTTAAAACACATATAAAAAAGGTATGCAAAAAGGTAAAATGTAACTTTAATTTTAGGTTTATTAGAAATTCTTCATCAAATGAGGCTGCAAAGATATATTTTCATTCTATGAATCCTTCTCATATTACTTATTGTTTGACAAGCTGGTCTAACACACATTTTATAGTTCTAAAACCATTTGAATTATTATACAAACAAGCACTTAAAATTTTAGATTAAAAAAAACAATTTAGTTTTCACCATTGTCATATCTTAAATACGTATAACCTGCTTAGCTGGGAAAACATCACTAAGTATAAAAATGTTTGTTTAGTTTATAAGATTATGCATGGTTTAGCTCCTCCTCTGGTTGATTTTATTAAATTTAAATCTACTGAAAACAGAGTAACTAGAGGTGCAGCTAAAGCTGACAGCATAATTCCACATAGAAAAACCTTGTTTGGTCAAGCTGTTTTTTCATTCAGAGCATCACATCAGTGGAATTCAATACCACAATCAATTAGAGAATGTGCATCATTTAACTCATTTAAGCATCATTTTAAGAAATGGCTTCTTCATAACCAACAATGTGAACATTAATGTTGTTTATATATCTTAATAAGCTGCTTTCTATTTAATTTTTTTTAATACATATTTCTTTATTATTTTATTGTCAGTTTGTATAATTTGTTGCTTAATTTTTGGTTGAATTTCGTTTGTCATTGTTTTTTCTATTTTGTTAAATTTTTTTTTTTCCCCCTTCTAGTTTTTTGGCCTAATAACATCTGGCAAAGGGACTACCAATGAAAACTAGCCTTTGGGCTAATTTGGGTACATTTACATTCATGAATGTTGATTAATGTACACTATCCCTTTTTTTTTGTGAAATAAAAATAATAATAAAAAAAGAATATTTCACCTACAAATTACAGGTCTGACATCATTTACTCAATGTCATGTCATTCCATTCATAGTTTGCTTTCTTCTGTGAAACACAATAATGTTTGAATGTTTATAGAATGTTTCAGCTGTTTTTGTCCTTCTTATGATGAAAATAATACAAAAAGGGCATAAAGGTAGCGTTAGACTAACTCATATGACTTGGCTGGTATATTTTAAGTTACTTTAAATAATAAACAGAATTGTAAGCCTTTTTTCAATTTCAAATTAAATCAAAACATATATAGTGTATGGATTTTGTAAGAAAATTGTATCATCGAGCATCGGAGTCTGATAGCTTTGACAGCTGAGTGTCCAACATTTCACACATAGTCTTTTCAGTTATTTAAGTGCATGATGATCAGGGTACTTGAAATGCACTTTTTCTTTTTGGAACTTTCGGTATGAACAATTACACTATTTATACTACAAAATGGCATAGAATAGTGCATAAATACGCATATTGGGATGCACCTTACGACTATATCAAACATGGCGACAAACCTAAAGCATTCTCTTTTGTTTTTTACAGAAGAAATGACATGAGGGTGAATAAAAGATGACAGAATTTTTAGGTGAACTATCCTTTGGAATGGCACGTTTTTTTATGTATATATACAGTGGGTACGGAAAGTATTCAGACCCCCTTAGATTCTCAGGCTCTGCTACCTGGTATTTTGGTGCGTTGTTGCACTGGGGGAAGTTGCCGTTGACCTCTCCATTGTGAAGCAGGTTATTGTCTACTAGATTCCATCCCCAGCTCTGGTCATCGCTGCCTAGAAGCGCCACATAGCCCTGGCATTGCATGGAAGCCCTCTTGGTCGCGATGCCGATCACCGCCACCGTGCCAAGAGGACCTTCCCACCAGATCTCCCAGGCGTGCCGGCCCTCTGAGAAGCCAATCTTCCCACGGGCACCATCAGTGCTTTGGGCGATGGGGTTACGGTGCAGAGTAAACCCGTTTTTCTTGATATATACATTCCTAGAGCAGTCATGGGAGCTCAGAGCATGCTGGAAAGACTTCAGCTGAGGACAGAAGAAAATGAAAGTTACTCCAAACTTATGTCCAATAAAATTTGATCTAGAATGAGATGGTAATTCTATGATACCACACTCTCTATATATTGTGGTGTAACTATACACTCAGCTCACGATTCAATACGATACACAATAATGGGTTTACGATGGTAGTACCACAATATTTTAAACAAAATGCAAAATTCAAACTGAAATTCAAATAACAGATTTATTTCCAATACATTGACAATTTTCAGTAACTTTCTTTCTTGTACATACAACTCATTAAAGAACTGACGACATTCAAGGTCGCCAATAAATTAATAAAAACTGAATGCACTCATACACACGAACACACATATACACGACATATGTTCAAAAAAGCGTGGTAATACCATGGTTTATTTATCTGATTATTTTATGCAATATCAGCATCAATTATAGTGTCAAGAACAGGGTAAAATAACTTAAAAATAGGTAAATAAATGATTAAACATATTCAGCAGTACCATGATACACGTAAAACACCATGGTGGTGCCATGGTAAATGTCCAAGAAAACACGGTAATACCATGGTACTTTTTGTAAGTGTGATGAGAAATCAAATAGCTTTGACACGACCAGTCAGTACAGGATCTTAATAATTCAGTCATTTATATGGAAATTACCAATTTTCTGCAGCTTTGTGTCCATAAATTGCAGGCAAGCTACTGATGTTACTGTATTTGGTCCAATATTTACAAATGACGTCATACATTGGAGACCATTAGCACTGTTCTGACGGTCACCTACTAACATAACCGTATTCAAAAATACGATTTTAAAAAATGAAATGTGTTATGTTTATTATTCGAAACATAAAAGCACATAATACCACAGTTTTATGCGGTGAGCAAAGTCTAGTCTATTTAATAAAAAATAACATTTTAAAAAGGCACATTGGCACGATGCATGATTGTAAGTACTGCATTGTAAATTATATTAATTAAATTGATAACATATTAACATTAACTAATTTTAACAATCTTACTTTTGCTTTATATGAAGCCAGGTTGCAGAGGATATCAGTGCGCAGCGATTCTTCACTGAGCAAGCGGGCGCACAGACTCCGCCACACCTCGCTGTTTTCATCCGCCAGACAGTTGTACCAGTGCCAGCAAACGAGCGAGCAGTTCGTGAGATCCGGCAGCTCCAGATAGGAGAATATATGCTCGAGAACTCGGCTGGGTAACCGACCCGCGATGCTCGACCCACCGCCTAATAATGCGGCAGAACCGGCGCCCGACGAGGAGGAGCAGCAGCCCGCGGCAGCAGCGCCCAGCCCCGCAGACTGCGCCCCTCCACCGACCCCTGCGCCAGACATGTCAAACTCCTCCGCTGAAAGCAACCGTTATTACAACCGCACAGCCGGATCGCACAGCGGGTCAGAACCCCACCGCTGTCCCGCGAAACGCGTTCGGCTGACACATCTCCCGGTGTTATTGCAGTTGCGGCCAAATGGATCAAAATCTAAGCTATGTGACTATTGTAAAGGTCCTGGACGGCGTGCGGCTAACAAATCCGAGCTCAGTAATCAGAACGGATTGTACGAAAGTATATCATTCAATTAAGTCGCTTTATAAATTAATTATAATTATCCACATATCATATATAACACGTTAGGCAAACGTGTTACTCTTTCTGTTTCTGTTTCACATTAATGATGATTCGTGAATGAATCGTTCTTGTGAGTCGGATTTTTTTTTGAACGGGTCTACAAAACTGCTCTGAATGATTCATTGGTGCGAGCGCTTCTCGAGTCGCAACTGACTCGTTGAATTGACTCTTTTGAACATGTTCGACTCGCAGCGTTCCAGGTTAACATGGACCGATGAGTGAAACATGTGGAGTGAACAGAGGATTTGACCAATAGATCGAAAGGTAAGTTAGTTAGCCAAAAAAAAAAAAAAAAGAGGTTAGCTATTATTTTATTGTCAGTTTGTATAATTTGTTGCTTAATTTTTGGTTGAATTTCGTTTGTCATTGTTTTTTCTATTTTGTTAAATTTTTTTTTTTCCCCCTTCTAGTTTTTTGGCCTAATAACATCTGGCAAAGGGACTACCAATGAAAACTAGCCTTTGGGCTAATTTGGGTACATTTACATTCATGAATGTTGATTAATGTACACTATCCCTTTTTTTTTGTGAAATAAAAATAATAATAAAAAAAGAATATTTCACCTACAAATTACAGGTCTGACATCATTTACTCAATGTCATGTCATTCCATTCATAGTTTGCTTTCTTCTGTGAAACACAATAATGTTTGAATGTTTATAGAATGTTTCAGCTGTTTTTGTCCTTCTTATGATGAAAATAATACAAAAAGGGCATAAAGGTAGCGTTAGACTAACTCATATGACTTGGCTGGTATATTTTAAGTTACTTTAAATAATAAACAGAATTGTAAGCCTTTTTTCAATTTCAAATTAAATCAAAACATATATAGTGTATGGATTTTGTAAGAAAATTGTATCATCGAGCATCGGAGTCTGATAGCTTTGACAGCTGAGTGTCCAACATTTCACACATAGTCTTTTCAGTTATTTAAGTGCATGATGATCAGGGTACTTGAAATGCACTTTTTCTTTTTGGAACTTTCGGTATTAACAATTACACTATTTATACTACAAAATGGCATAGAATAGTGCATAAATACGCATATTGGGATGCACCTTACGACTATATCAAACATGGCGACAAACCTAAAGCATTCTCTTTTGTTTTTTACAGAAGAAATGACATGAGGGTGAATAAAAGATGACAGAATTTTTAGGTGAACTATCCTTTGGAATGGCACGTTTTTTTATGTATATATATATATATATATATATATATATAGTAGATTCTCAGGCTCTGCTACCTGGTATTTTGGTGCGTTGTTGCACTGGGGGAAGTTGCCGTTGACCTCTCCATTGTGAAGCAGGTTATTGTCTACTAGATTCCATCCCCAGCTCTGGTCATCGCTGCCTAGAAGCGCCACATAGCCCTGGCATTGCATGGAAGCCCTCTTGGTCGCGATGCCGATCACCGCCACCGTGCCAAGAGGACCTTCCCACCAGATCTCCCAGGCGTGCCGGCCCTCTGAGAAGCCAATCTTCCCACGGGCACCATCAGTGCTTTGGGCGATGGGGTTACGGTGCAGAGTAAACCCGTTTTTCTTGATATATACATTCCTAGAGCAGTCATGGGAGCTCAGAGCATGCTGGAAAGACTTCAGCTGAGGACAGAAGAAAATGAAAGTTACTCCAAACTTATGTCCAATAAAATTTGATCTAGAATGAGATGGTAATTCTATGATACCACACTCTCTATATATTGGGGTGTAACTATACACTCAGCTCACGATTCAATACGATACACAATAATGGGTTTACGATGGTAGTACCACAATATTTTAAACAAAATGCAAAATTCAAACTGAAATTCAAATAACAGATTTATTTCCAATACATTGACAATTTTCAGTAACTTTCTTTCTTGTACATACAACTCATTAAAGAACTGACGACATTCAAGGTCGCCAATAAATTAATAAAAACTGAATGCACTCATACACACGAACACACATATACACGACATATGTGTGGTAATACCATGGTTTATTTATCTGATTATTTTATGCAATATCAGCATCAATTATAGTGTCAAGAACAGGGTAAAATAACTTAAAAATAGGTAAATAAATGATTAAACATATTCAGCAGTACCATGATACACGTAAAACACCATGGTGGTGCCATGGTAAATGTCCAAGAAAACACGGTAATACCATGGTACTTTTTGTAAGTGTGATGAGAAATCAAATAGCTTTGACACGACCAGTCAGTACAGGATCTTAATAATTCAGTCATTTATATGGAAATTACCAATTTTCTGCAGCTTTGTGTCCATAAATTGCAGGCAAGCTACTGATGTTACTGTATTTGGTCCAATATTTACAAATGACGTCATACATTGGAGACCATTAGCACTGTTCTGACGGTCACCTACTAACATAACTGCATTCAAAAATACGATTTTAAAAAATGAAATGTGTTATGTTTATTATTCGAAACATAAAAGCACAGTTTTATGCTGTGAGCAAAGTCTAGTCTATTTAATAAAAAATAACATTTTAAAAAGGCACATTGGCACGATGCATGATTGTAAGTACTGCATTGTAAATTATATTAATTAAATTGATAACATATTAACATTAACTAATTTTAACAATCTTACTTTTGCTTTATATGAAGCCAGGTTGCAGAGGATATCAGTGCGCAGCGATTCTTCACTGAGCAAGCGGGCGCACAGACTCCGCCACACCTCGCTGTTTTCATCCGCCAGACAGTTGTACCAGTGCCAGCAAACGAGCGAGCAGTTCGTGAGATCCGGCAGCTCCAGATAGGAGAATATATGCTCGAGAACTCGGCTGGGTAACCGACCCGCGATGCTCGACCCACCGCCTAATAATGCGGCAGAACCGGCGCCCGACGAGGAGGAGCAGCAGCCCGCGGCAGCAGCGCCCAGCCCCGCAGACTGCGCCCCTCCACCGACCCCTGCGCCAGACATGTCAAACTCCTCCGCTGAAAGCAACCGTTATTACAACCGCACAGCCGGATCGCACAGCGGGTCAGAACCCCACCGCTGTCCCGCGAAACGCGTTCGGCTGACACATCTCCCGGTGTTATTGCAGTTGCGGCCAAATGGATCAAAATCTAAGCTATGTGACTATTGTAAAGGTCCTGGACGGCGAGCGGTCAACAAATCCGAGCTCAAAATATAGAATAGATTGTACGAAAATATATCGTTCAATTAAGTCCCTTTATAAATTAATTATAATTATCCACATCTCGTATTTAACACGTTGTAAATGTGCTACTCTTTCTGTTTCTGTTTCACATGAATGATGATTCGTGAAGGAATCATTCTTTCATGAATCGGATCAGTGAATTGATTGAACTGGTCCACAAAAGCGTTCGCGTTGGTGCGAGTCTCAACTAACTCTTTGAATTGACTCTTTTGAACACGTTCGTTTCGTAGTGAGGACCGATGAGTGAACCATTTGAAGTGAACCGACCAATGGTTCGGAAGGTAAACCAAAAAAAAGAAAAGAAAAAGAAAAACGTTAGCAGAAAAATTTCAAATAAAATGTCCCTTAAAAATGATTGTAAGACGTTAAATGAGAATGCTTGACCATGACGTTATATTCAAATTAATTTTAGGTAAAAAAAACAAAACTGTTCTTTGAAACGAGTTCCTTAAAAGAACCGATTCGCGGTAATGAGTCTACCGTTCATATTTCATATTATACACTTCTTTAAGGACCTCGCAATTGACTAGATTACGTATGCAAGGGAGGGGAAAATGCGACGTTACAGGAAAGACCACTAGAGAGCGCCGTTTATTCTATAATTCTATAAGTAAAATAAACACAACGCTATTATCAAAATCACATTTTTTGATACATAATATAATTAAAATTCTTATTAAAGATTTAAAGTGTGCATTATTTTTTAAAACTAACTCTAGCCATTGCTGAATATTTAATATTGTTTAACTCACATAAACCTAATAAAGCTCATTAGTTTATTAGAAAAAGGAGAAAAAGATCACATTCATGGTTTATGTAATACATGCCTTCAGTCTGTTTCTCAGAAAAACAGCAGCTTGGATTTGCAATTATCCTAAGTGACCTATTATTAATTATTAACTATATTATTAAACCCTCAGAGTCATTTAGTGGCTTGAAATGGCAAGGACTAATGATGTAATTTATTCTTAACACTCAAAAAAAGATAAGATTTCCTGAAATTCTCGGATGTTGTATAGAATATGCTTTTTCCACCTTGGTTATGCAACTGTCTGTTTGCTGCATGATTCATTGCTGTTGCTTGAATGCTGTCAGTCCTGATGGATCATTTATCTCTAAAGGAGGAAGGTAGTGAATGCTAATATTTCAGAGGAAGAAGATATATCATTCGGAATGGCTCAGCATTGCTCTGCCACATGCTTTGAATTAGCTGGCATCTATACTACAAGGGGTTTAATGGATTTATTAATGCTTAAACGTGTATATATTGTAAAGTCCATGTTTTCATGTTCTGTGAAACTAGCTGTCAGGCCGGATTGTCTGGTTGACTGGATATGATGTGTGCTGCTTTATGTAAACAACCACCACAATATGGGGGGGGTTGTTGACAGTATTAGAGTTACTGTATTGAGTTGACTATAAATAAGGGAGTAAATGTGATTATACTTCTAAGTCCGCCAGGGAAACCCATTAAAACTGTCTCCTGCATTGCTTCTGGTTTTTTTATGGTATTTTAGTGTGGTTGATTATGCAAATTAAACTAATAGTTATCATTTTTTTATAACTGTTACTAAAATCATAAAAAATAATTTCAATACTTGAAATAATATAAACATTAACAGAAATAAAATAAAATATAAAAATGTGTTGTTTGTTATAATAAAATAACCACATCTAAATAAAACTAAATTAAACTAAAAATGTAAAGCTAATAAAAACTGAATAGATGAACATAACACTAAAAAGTAAAGCAGCCACTAGATGGATCAAATCCCTTTCCAAATCAGCCTTCCCTTCAATTTCTAATCTTGAGCAGCGATTTTAAGTTCCCTAATGATTCGTGATAACCTGAAATATCAGATATGAACAGTAAATTCAGGAAAAAATCATTTTAAGGCATTATTTTATATATTCTAAAAGAATAGATGCCGTGTAGGCTATATCAATACATCGTCCATAGCGCACGTACACCTGTTGTTAGTGGGTGGAGACGGAGGCGCCGCCTCTCTTCCCATCGGGGCCAATCAGGAGTTCGATGGCCGCTAGAGGGCGGGGCGAAGCCCAGCAGAATTTGAAGCTCACTTTAGAAGCATTACTTCGGTTTACGGGACAGAAACGGTAGAGCAGACCCGGGAATTTAACGGTATTTCGGATATATTGTGGTTTCGGGTGTACATGCATCTCTGTGCAATGATCGAGATATGCTCCTCAAGTGAGTATGCATTTTGAAATTTCATATTTGATATATAGCTGAATTGCTTAACTGGTGGGATTTTGAGTAAACAGTTAACGTTACGTTTGAAGAACTACTTCTGAATTGCTTCACTGCGTATTTTAAATAGAAATTGAGGTGCGCGATGTTGCATTAACAGCATCACAGAAAAAGTTCCACAAATGTACACATTTTGAGTTAGTTTGTGGTTAGTTTTATAAACCTTTCCTCCAAACATTACATACATTACTAGTCTACTTAAGAAATGTTGTGTTGTTTGGGAGTGGACTTAATATGTGCCATTTGACATTGGGTTCAGTCTATGTTAGAATTTACTCGTTTGGTGTGATTGTTTTGTTGTTTCGTTGCGTCATTATTTCACTTTATTCAAGTTAAGGTAGACTATGGGATGTACATTTCAGTGGTTCTTCAGTTAGAGGCACTTGGGGATGAATTAAGGTACAAATTGTGGTGGTCATTCTGTATGTTGCAGTTTTTGGAGAAGAAGCTTTGGATTTGCCAACACAAGAAATTACATAGAAGTCCATTCATATTCTCTAAAAATTAATGAATTGTTTCTAAATTGAAATTCTCAAATAGTGACCTGTGTGGAAATAACATGAAGCAACTAATGTAAAAAATCTTACTGTATTTCTGATCTTTAAGTTGTCAATCTGCTCTTTTGTTACTTTTCATTTCCATCATAACCCAATAGAAACCTTTTTGGGAGAAATTCAGTTGTTCTCTAAAATAATTAGTGTGATGGTAATGACAGCAACATTAAGCTGTTCACATAAACACCAATTATGCACGAGTATGATGTTAGGGAAAAATGCAAAGCTGAATATCCTTTTTTTCATAATTTTTTATTTGTAGAATGAAAATTACTGGGTAAATGTTAAAGTAACTTTCTGTGAAGTTTTAACTTTATTTATATGATTAGGAATGCTTTTGATATTGGACTTTAAGAATGACTTGTTATTGCTTGGCTGATCTTGTGGTTTGGTGGAAAAATAGATGTTTGGAATTCTAACTTGCTCTTACTAACCTTGTTTTTATCTCTCTTTTCTTATGAATAACAGCATGGAACAACTTTATTTACAATCCACAGTGTGAGTTCTTTCAGAAATGACAGAAATCCCAAACAAACATAAAGTGAGATGTTACTTCATCTTCAGTCTGTGAGGTTAGTTTGGTTTCCTCAAAGCATTTTATCTTGAGCAAAGTAAATACACTAGGATTGTTTTTACCTGCATTTTTAAGTTATGAAAAAGAGCACTTAATAAAGAACACAAGTCTTATATGTGAAACAATACAGTCTGATGGAGACATGATAGAGTTTGAGCTTTCTCATCTCTTTTCCTGCGTGCTTGAAGTGAAATGAAAACTTTTCCCAAGATTTCCTAAGCCTCAGGTCACAGTCAAATTATGCCTTTGAAATTCCTGGTTTGCTTGTAACTAATATCCCCATCTCAAAGTATATCCGACCAGATCACTTTAAGTCTGTTTGAATCTTTCTTTATTTGAGATGTAAATCACCATTGAGGCTCAGTGTAAGACATCCCTATTAGCACAGCTTAAATTTCCCCTGTGTGTATGTGCGGTAAAGTCTAGCAAATAGAAGTGTTCTTGTCTTTAAACGTTAGAGGTTTAACCATACGTTGACTCCATTGTGCACACAGGAACAACTGTCAGTGGTGAGGAAACTCTTGGAATCTGAGAGTCTCCAGGGAACGTTGCACTGGGATCCATTCAAACTGGCTGCAGCTGGGATGTTTGCTGCCGGGATGCTGCAGCAAAGCAGCGGAGGACTGAACAAGCGATCGCTGGGAATGGCACGGCTTCCCAACTCCCACTTTTTCCCCCTCTCTTCGGGCTCAGGGTCGTGGGGTTTGGGCCGATCGGCGAAGAGCGGCTCTCTGAGCTCTGTCAGCTCAGGGTCGGACAGCATGGACATGGCAGGTGCCGATCCTGACTGCATTATGCAGCTGGTCAATGATGTGCGGAGGTTTGCAGATGCGCTGCTCCACCTCAAGGAAGCTTTTAACACCAAAGGTAAGAGTGAGACCGCACAGGGTTGGTGAAAAGAGCTTGTTGTTGCTGTCAGAGTTTCAGCCTGTTGTGGGTCAACGTTAGCTTTGGTTTCACGGTCACTAACCTTTCTTTATCTTTTTTGGATAATGGCAAGGGAAAGTTTATTTGCCATCAACACTGTGAGTTCATTTAACAATGCCAGCAATCTCAAACAAAGATTAAGCCATAGTCGGAAATTACTTTCTCTTTATTTAGAAAGGTTAGTCATTTATGATTTGCATTTTATTTGGAGCAGAAAATTCATTTTTGTGTTATATAATCCAGATGTAAAATATATATAGGCCTATTGTAATTCCTATGTGTATATATATATATATATATATATATATAGTTATATAAACATAACATCTTTATAAACATAACATAATACATTAAAAATGGCTCAATGTCCTTCTTTTCTAAATAAAGTAAAGACAGTCATTTCTGACTATGACTTTATCTGTTTAAGATACATACTATATACAGACAAACAGGAAAAAATATGTATATATATATATATATATTTCCTGTTTGTGTGTGTGTATATGTATGTGTATATATATATATATATATATATTAGTGCTGTCAAATCGATTAATCGCAATTAATAATTATATAAAAAAGGTGTCTGTTTTCAAACAGGTTTCCAAGTCACTCCCCCATCAGCAATTGGCCAGACAAACAGATAAACCCACCCCCAAACTTGAGCCAGTGTTTTTGTGTTGTGACCAGACAACTAAAATTTTATTTAAAAATATTTTTAATATATATACTGTAAACATTTTGGGGGAAACAATAATGGCTTATTAAAGTGTCAAAATGGCTACTTGGGTGTGTGAAATAAATTTGAAAATCATAACCTCCTTGATTGTGAGTATTTGATCAAATAATACTCTATTTCATTATTAATTAGCTTTTCCTCTGTACTCCGTAATCTTAAGTGAAGTGTTTTAAAACAGCAAGAAATGTTTTTATAATTGAAGAGTGAATGAAGATTAATGGGTTGATTGCTCTTGCATGTGCGATTGCTGCATTCCCAAGGCAGTGCTGTTTGGGTCTGTTTGGATCGGATCCAGTGTGCTAATCCTTGCCTTTGCTTGAGAGTTCCTTCATAAGGAGGGGATGGAGGGGTGGTTGTGTGTGTATGTGATGGGGGGTGTTTCCAGCCTCCCATTGTGTCTCTGCCATGTTGTCCAGGGTCTGTAGGAATCTCTGCTTTTGTTCAGCGGGGTGATGGAGGGTCCTTGACCCCAGCTGGGTAGGAGAGTTACTCTGAGAGCTGCCAGTGTGTGACCGGTGCTTTTGGCCTCCGGGTCTCTCCTTCCCGCAGCTTTGGACCTTGAACAGTAGGAACACCTCAGTTGGGGTAGGGTTACTCTCCCAATCACTGAAGACTTACAAACTATGTGTCAGTCTTACATTGTTGTCATAGTTTTGAAAGTGTGGCGCTTTACAAATCCGTCTCGGGCGTGGAATCTTTCCGTAGAGTGACCTTATTAAAGATCTGAAAAAGACCAAAACAGTTGCACTTTTAGAGAGGAAAGGTTAACGGTTAAACACATGTGTAGCATTTCTGAAAAGATCCCTTTGTGTGTCTGCCTTGGTGGCACATATCGGCAGGAATTATTTAAATAAGCTTAGTAACACACTAACATCTGACTCACGGCGCAGCGCTTTTGCTGTAATCGGCTGAAATTCAGCTAAACGCAGGGAACGAGACTAATTGGACAGGAAGAGAATTTGGAAGAATTTGAGAGAGTGCTGAGAACTTAAGAGCCTCCTTTCCATGGAAATGTTTTAAAGTGCAAACAAACAGTAAATCACTACATTTACTATGTTGACTGCCGTGAACATTTGTGTCGTCATTGTAATGCTGTTGTCAGTATGAATTTATTAAACTCATTTAGGGCTGGGCGTATAGTTAAAGTTTTTTTTCTCTCAGTATTTTTCTGCTTTTTGATCAATGAGTATGTATATATTTGTTTAATATAATATAATATAAATTATTATAATTTGTTATATATTTTCAGCCTTTTGACAAATGAATATTTAAACATGTTTATATATATTTGTAAATGTATTTAAATTTATATATATATATATATATATATATACACACACATACATACATCAATTTAAATATTTAATTTTTTTATTTATAGGTGTGATTTTAATATTTAAATGTGTTTGTATATTTTTCAGTCATTTAACAAACAAATATATTAATATTTAAATTACATTTATACTTATATATAATATG